ATCCTCAACTCCATCTGCACATTCGGAGGCATTTTCTTCAATCTGTAGGCTTGATTCTGTTGTCGCAACTTCATCGTTTCCTCGCCTATCTCCATCTGCACATTCGGAGGCATTTTCTTCAATCTGTAGGCTTGATTCTGTTGTCGCAACTTCATCGTTTCCTCGCCTATCCTCAACTCCATCTGCACATTCCTTAGAAAGTTAATCAAAGTCGTTACAATATTTTAACGAACCTTGGCAATCCATCTTCGCAGTTTATCAACTTGACATGGCTTCAGACGATCATGATGGAGGGTGGAGGAACCTTTTTTCGTTATCACATTATACAAAACTGGTCCCAACTTTTTGGAAACAACAGCTGGTCCTTTCCAGAGAGGCTGAAGTTTTGGGCTCTTCCCTATCTTTTTAGCGTCATCCTTGATGTAGACGAGGTCACCAATATTATATGTTCTCTCATACAGCCTCAAATCATGCAATCTTTTCTGACTTTTCACTGCTTTCTTCAAGTTCTGACGAGCAAGATCCTCGCACTTCTTCATAGATATCCTCAGTTGTTCGACATAATCTGCTTCAGAATGCTGCTCAGATGGATGTAGCCCGAAGATGACTTCCTGTGGAGATGGGTGTCCCAATCATCTTGGTTTTGGGCAACAAAACACCGCATCATTTGTAACAGGGTTCTATTAAACCGTTCTACCAGTTCGTTGGAGGACGGATGATCCGGAGTTATTCTCGTTTTTGCCCATCCCATCAGTGAAGCCAGCTTTTTCATCAATTCGCTGTCAAAATGTCGCCCCTGATCTGTGTGTATTTCGAGAGGTACGCCAAACCGTGCGATATACTCCTTTACCAGTATCTCAGCAATGGATTCGGCGGTTTGGTCAGGGAGGGGGTAACACTCAGTCCATTTGGTGAACTGATCTACTAATACAAGAATATAATTGTTTCCTTTTTTAGATATTGGAAAGGGACCCAAGATGTCTAATTGTACCCTGTCTAATGGGGAACCTGCAGAGTACTCTTGTAACGCAGATCGGTTGGTTTTGTTTGCTTTTTTACTCACTGCACATTTTTCGCATGATCTCACATAGGTGGTTACGTAATCTGTCATGCTGTACCAGTAAAAGCTTTGTCTCAGGCGTTGTATGGTACGTTTGATACCTGGGTGGCCAGACAATGGGGAGCAATGAGCGATCTCCAATATCTCTTTCTTCAACACATCAGGAACAATTAACAACTTTCTATTTCCTTCTGGAAATCTCCAACAGTAAAACAAGCAGTTATCTTCAAGAAGGAGATAGTCTTACAGAAGCTGGGTAACGGCTTGTCTCAAAATTGCTGATAGTGTCCAATACTGGCTGAAATGGCACACTACCTGAACCAGGTACAGGAGTAGAGGTAGTTGGCCTTAAGTTGTGGCCTAACATTATGCCTGAGGTTCTTGGTATGCATGTTTGGTCTTGTCGTGACAGTCTGGGGCTGTTCCCTCGACTGCACATCAGTCCCGACATAAGATTTTGACTAGGTATTGGCGCCTGCCTGGGGCTGTCCCCTCGGCTCATTGAGCTCTCTAGAAGTTGTGTGCAAGTTTCAGTCATTTCGGAGAAAAGCCGTACCTGTTCTCGCATCATTTCAGATTGCTTCTCCATTGCTTCATCTTGCCTCCGTAGTAAAGCATTGGTCATTTCTCTGACATGAATTGAGAGGCCCCTTAATTCCGATTCAACCCTCTCTAGTACAGCAATGGTCTTTTCTTCCACTAGTGGCATTAATGTATTATTGTCTTCCTGCAGTTCTCCTATGATACCAGTCTTCTGTGCTGTTGTATCCTCCTGACTAGCCTCGTTTTTGACATCTTTACAAGTTGAGCAACTCCTGTGGGTCCACTGAAACTGTTAACACGTCAGGTGTAGGGTCACTCCAACACTCTTTGACAATGTTTAATTCTAGTCGTCGTATCCACTTCCTTGATAATAAATGATGAATAATAAATGATAAATTGTTTATGTTTATGTCTGTATTGTCCAATTTTCTGTGTAATGTCACACACACCTAATAGTACATAAACAACAAGTGGTCTATTTCCTGGAATAATTTTTCATGTTCCGGATTGGCCTTGTCGATAGCACTTGAAGTTGTTGCCCCCGGGTACGTAAGAAACTGCAGAGGAATTCCTGAAGAATTTCTGTTTCTTCGCAGTGTATCTCCAAGGCTGTCTGAAATGATTACTGGTAGTTTTCACAGGAAGTTGATGGCACCTTAAGTTTTCCCAAAAAAATTGTTATGATTTTTGAGCTCATCAAATTGGAGATAATTTATGTGTAACACAAAACCGATAACTGAAATATATATGACTTATAAAGAATACTGTTATAGCAATTTTTATTTTATCATTTTTTTTAAAGATTTTTTTTTACCAGTGACTGAAAAATAAACAGAATGCGGATTCACACAATTCTGATATTTAATAACAACTTATAAATCAGATTGGCTTCATCCAGTACGATGCAGGCGTGTCCGACAGAGAACGGGTTCACACTTCTCTGTAACGTAAACACGTGGTCTGGCTCAGCACGGAGAAACAGCGTTTTCTCCAAACAATAAAGGATACACAAAATATATGATATTAATGAACACTTCTGACACCAATGTGGTGCTTTGGCAATGGTGTGGGTCGTAGTTTGGCACCAGGTGGCTCCAAAAACCCGGGAGAAGACAAGAACAGCTTCAGAGTTTAATTTTAGAACAACATGCATGTAATTATTGACACGCCGAACCCGACGGCAAATACACAACTGCACTACAGTATTCAATACAGATATATACAGTGGCGCCTCGTTAATTCGGACGCCTCCCTTCCGATAGATTAATTGATTGTATATTTAAGCAATGAATGATTATTTTTTGAGTGATATTGTTTCATAACTGCAACGGTAACGCGCGTTATTCAATTTGTTTGCACACACCGTTGCAGTTATGAAACTATATCACTCAAAAAATAATCATTCATTGCTTATATTTACATTTTTTAAACTTTCTATCTTAACTGCAAATGTGATTTCTATTTAAAAACCTATGTATTATCCTTCGTGTAAGCTACATTTAATGGATCAGCCAACGTAACAGCTTCCGGTCAATTTGAACGTGATTTTTTGATTTTCGCTTGTGACGTTGCACTTCCTCGGCGTTCAACGATTATGACGTCAAACTAAAACGCATGTTTTAACCTCTTGGTACCCTGTCTGTGTTATGGTGTTTTGAATGCAATAGATTTCCATTCATTTTATATGCAAAAAATATATGTAATGTAAATATTGTTTAACGTCCCTTTCGAGAATTTTTCACTCATATGGAGACGTTACCGTATGCCGCGGTGAAGAGCTTCAAATTTACACCTATACCCAGCACTCTGAGCCATAGAGCAGTGAGGGTTCTTTATCGTACGAACGCCTACCGTGACACGGGACCTACGTTTTTAAGGTCGTATCCGAAAGACCCGTGACTTTCAATTCTGGTGCAGAGCGCTTGGCGAAGGAACAGTCACTATGTTTATGATGCGGCGCCGCGAAAAAATCGAACCCGGGCCTCCCGATTACGAAGAAAACGCTCTACCACTAGGCTACCGTGAACGGTCCGATTAAAATCGTCCGGAGAAATACATCTTTTCTCAAAAATCGATCAAAAACATCTGACTGACAGTTTGCATAAGCTTGGTCCAGGTCGGTCACACGTGTTGATCGTTGCTTCAAACTCAAGCATGGAACACAGAATGAATTCTTTGTGTTTGGAACTACACACCTGTTCTATATATAGACTCTCGCCATAGGTATTCTGCACTATTTTAGGGTTCCCACTTTTCCTAGAATATGCCATTCTGACTATATCCTCCATTTTGGCATCAAATGGAAGCAACAATAAATTATTTTTAGATCCTTTAAACATTAAAAAAAATGCTCAAGTCTCCGAGCTCTACTAAAGCAGCTGCTACATGTAGCTCGCCGTCGCATAAGACGCGAATTTTTGGTTTAAAAAGACAGAACAGGTTAAAAAAAAATTAAAGAAATATCGTCCGAAAGGTGGTGCGTCCACTTGTGAGCCACTGTTTGTAGGCCTACTATCTTTTGAATGCTGACAAATATTAAATGTTCCGTCAAAAAAGAAACCTTACATCGAAACTACTTAGACAGCATTCAAAAAGGTTGACAGAAATTACTTACCATTTCATTGGCAACTCATCATACCTCTGATATTTCTATTTGCTTCTTTTTAAATGCTCTTTAGGATTTCTCATTTTTACTTGATGAGAGTTTACTATAAATTACTATACAATTATGGACTCTTTTGGTGTTGAATATGGTTTGTTATTCACCAGAAAAATATTCATATTGACCGAGCCGAAGCCGAGGTCAATATGGATATTTTTCTGGTGAATAACAAACCATATTCAACACCAAAAGAGTCCATAATTGTTTTATTATATAGTCGGGATTTGAATAGATAAGACATTGAAGGCTGTATGATGACACCATTTTCATTTGTGATCTCTTCCATTTTTAAAAAATAAAAAAAATCTCCAGATAAGTGTTTGTAGCCTCCGTGTTTTCCTTTCCAAGTTTCGCTATGTGTAAGACGTCCAAATGTTAAAAAATAATCCTGAAATAGGTTTGAATAATTTTTTTCCTGCACAGATACGTAGCTCGCTGCGGCCGTTGCAACCATCGTTTACAACGTTGTTTGATATTTTGATTGTGACGTCACAATACCGTTGCACGCGCATTGACCCTCCGGTGAATACGGCCTAAAATCCGGTGAATATGTAGTGTTATGAACTTTTTGCTTTTATATAGATTATATACGGACTATAAATAGACTATATAATAATATTCGTTATCTCATCGCTTTATATTTTATCTATTTTGCTTATAAAACGAAAAGCACATTTACAAACAAATTTTAATATTCAAATATAAGTAAAGCAGCAGCATTTTACCAAATACACCTTACCATCCAATGACGTCATTTTCTAGAACAGCAATTCTTTCGTATTCCACAACGGTGTAAATAGTCGAATTGACACCTTAAAAATATTAAAATTGATAGTTGCACTACTATTATTTATTTTTAAACAAATAAAATGTACAATGTTATGAGCTCTCTAGTATAAAAATACAGGGTTCGATAAAATATTCATTTTAAATTAAATGTTTTATACTTTAGAAGTAAAATTACGGTGGTATATTTAGGATACGCAATTATTATTTTTTTAAATACCAGAAAAAATTATCTTGTGAAAACGACATAATTATCTTGTGAAAACGACTTATTATCTTGTGAAAACGAGATATCATCTTGTGAAAACGACTTATTAGCTTGTGAAAACAAGATATTATCTTGTGAAAACGAGATATTATCTTGTGAAAACGAGATATTATCTTGTGAAAACGAGATATTATCTTGTGAAAACGAGAAATTATCTTGTGAAAACGACTTATTATATTATGTCGTTTTCACAAGATAATATCTCGTTTTCACAAGATAATTAGTCGTTTTCACAAGATAATAACTCGTTTTCACAAGATAATAACTCGTTTTCACAAGATATTATCTCGTTTTCACAAGATAATATTATTTCGTTTTCACAAGATAATATGTCGTTTTCACAAGATAAATTCTCGTTTTCACAAGATAAAAAGTCGTTTTCACAAGATAATTTTTTTCTGGTATTTAAAAAAAAATAATTGTGTGTCCTAAATATACCACCGTATAAACTCACAATATTAACGGAAAATAATAATAACCGCACCAGACGTGTAAGATTGACCGATTTCGTGTCAAGTATAGAACTACCTTTAAACAGGTGAAAATCAAAAGTACCTTCAACATAAATTGTGTTGTAAGCAACGAGCTTATAGTTATTTCCAGAAGGTCTCCAGACCATAAAATCTATCCATCCAGACCTCGAATAGGAAAACTCCCACGACGTAATGCGTGAGCAGGTGGTTATTATAAATACATAATCTGTCATCAGGTACATCATTCCTAATGATAAAAGAGAATAAAGTGAATTTTCATGCTACACTATCTTCCAGTGGCCCCAGGACCATAATAATGGTGCTAAGATCACTTAAGTTAAAATTGCTTTCAACACCAAACTGCTTTTATATGGAAATTAAATTGTTCATATAAGAAGTTAAACAAGAGGCCCATAGGCAACATCGCTTACCTAATCACATGGGCTAGTAAAAAACACAAATCAGCTCAGTATTGAAAAGTTTAGTTGTTTGGGGATTGTGTGTGTGAATTTTGTATTACTTGAACATGTCACTTTATCAATAAAGCATACAGGTATACTTTGGTCATACTTGAGAAGAAGAGTTTTAAAGATTTTTCTTCTATATTTACATGTAAAGATTTGATTGCCCACTTTAGCCTCATCTTACCCCCAGGGGTCATGATATGAACAAACTTGAATTAACTTTAACTAAGGATGTTTCCACATTAATATCACCAATCATAGCTTTCCTGATCTAGAGAAGAGGATTTTTAAAAGATTTTTCCTATGTATTACTATGTAAAACTTTGATCAACCATTGTGGCCCCGCCCTATCATGAACCTGAATCTACACTACCTGAGGATGCTTCCACATGAGTTTTATCTTTCCGGGCCCAATGATTCTGTAAAAGAAGATTTTTTAAAGATTAATTCTACCTATATATTCCTATGTAACCCTTTGATCACCCATTGTAGCCCCGCCCTACCCCCGGGGTTATCATTTGAACAGACATGAATCTATTCTACATAAGGATGCTTCAACATGAGTTTCACCTTTCCTGGCCCAGTGGTTCTGGAGAAGAGTTTTGAAAGATGCCTTTAATTTTTCATTAATTCATATTTATCTCCCCTTGGAAGAGGGCTTTGCCCTTCATTTGAACAAATTTGATTCCCCTTAACCCAAGGATACTTTCTGACAAGTTTGGTTGAAATTGGTCCATTTGTTCATGAGATGAAAATGAAAATGTGAAAACAACGACAACGGACAAATTTTGATCAGAAAAGCTCACTTGAGCCTTTGGCTCATGTGAGCTAAAAACAATAAAGATTACTGGAAGTTTGACTTAATTCTAACTCTGTTTCTTGATGTTGTGGACATGTACTAAGTTTTGACTTAAATCTGTAAATCGAGATTTCAGAAATTTTTTAACACTAAAATTAAATTCAATTTATTATAAGTAGTATTAATTTTAATTTTAATATTATTTAATAGTACTACAACCAAAACCAGATCCTTCATTCTGCTTCCATAAATGCATTGTACATGTATGTGAGCGGACAAACTGAACGGATGAACACTGTAAATAGTCAATGCATGAAATTGTAGAGCAAACAAGCAACGAAACTAAAACAAATCCTTACTTCCTTCAGTAATTAAATAATACTTAAATTTTCACACATAAATAAATTAATATCATCACATATTGTAAAATACCTCTTGATCCCCCTGTATATGCTGTCAAATCCTTTGGGTACATGTAAATCAAACTGTTCAGACAAGGAGCAGCTAGAAAAAAAAAGAATCAAATATTTTATTTCACAAATTAAAAGTGTTCAGACCAAAGCTTACACCATTCAAAATGCATGATGATGAAAAGCACTGTAGTTACATGTGTAAATTCATTTGTACTTACTGACGGCCTTGTTTCTTAGGGAGACACCAGTGGTGGTTGTAATTTGTGGCGATGGACATTTGCTAATGGCTTTTAAAACGGCAGCTTCAATAGAGGACAGGTTCTGGTAGGAGGGGGCAAAGAAATAACGGCTATTGTCCCCAGCAGCATCTTTATATTCTTGCGCGTAGGTACTGTTTATATCTTAAATTGCAGAGAAAAACATAACACAAATATCTTTTTCTAAAAATCAAATATGACCGTAAAGCAGTGACATAGCAGTCACTTGTTGAGGAAATCAAAATATAGATGACAGGATGTCAGAGATTTTTAAAAGTTATTAGAGTCAAGCTTTTTCAATCGTCTAAATATATTTTTTGAATATCAATAAGTTATTAGAGTCAAGCTTTTTCAATCGTCTGAATATATAGTCAGTGCATGTTTCTCGTGCAGATATTTTATTCTTCCTTTAAAATATGCAGCATAGTATGTATTATGAAAAATTAGTTCTTACCAACGGCAAAGACCTGGTTAGGCCAGTTAGCATTGATAACAGCTCCTTGAATAGCAGAACCAGCCCTTATTCCATCTACAGAGAAGACAAAGTAATTAGCCGCGTCTGCACGATCCCCGTTGGCCTCTGTGAAGTAGGTTGTCCTTGCATACAGTAAAGCTTTATCTAGTAGGTTCTTGGGTACCGAACCTTCTGGTATCTTCATTATGGCATTACTAACGTCATCATTGGTCGTGTGTGTTTTAAGATCAAATTGTCTGTATCCTTTATAATCGTACGTGATGACACCAATTCTGACTGTGTCCGAGGAGACACTGATTTTCCGCGCCAAGTTAGCAAAGAAGCTTTTCAGGAAGACAAATTTAGCACCGGCAGAAGAACTAGATGCCTCCAGTATGAATAGTATATCCAACTTGCAGCCTGCAATTTATAAGAACAAACACATTTTTAACTTAAACTTGAATCGTTTTACATATACACACTATAAATCTTCATTAATGAGATGAGGGACGTTAAGCAATATACAATCAATCAATCATAAATGAGATGATCAAATCAGTTTTAACATAGAAATTATCCTCAACTTTGTGCATCATGTCCAGAGTTCTCTATGCGTTTCTCACTACAAATACATGCTTGTTATCATAATTTATTTTGCAGAAAAGACTTTTTGCCCCGTTTAGGAGCATTTACATTTACTTTCATGTAATCCCGTTTGCCTAAAAGAAAATTAAAATGATACTTCTTTTAAGTTTCTAAGATGATTGGATACCAAAGAGCCGCTGTAGGTGCGAACAATACCTGAAACGAGGCAAGCTTTTGACAATAAATTGATGATACAAGGATATCAACAGCCTAGTTAAAGATATCATTTTGCAAGTTCTATCATAATGATCGATCTGAAACTTAGCAATTTCAATCTATCATTAGGACGAATGATACCTGAGGCTTTTCATACAAATATTAGGTCAATAGTTTCAAATCATTGTCTACGGAATTTCTCCAGGGGTAAAGAACATGCAGGTTTATCCTTTTCTACCGAGTAGTATATTTTAAGTTAGCATTTTCCATTTTTTAACATTTTCTTTTCTCTGACTTTCGAAAAGGCACAGAACTTTGCATGTGGTTTGAATTGATCTTGAAGGTAGTCTGAGAAAGTGTGTAAAGGACATATTGATAGATTGGCTGGTGAACATTGAACAACAGATGATCAGAAATTACTTGATTTTTCAGCAAAGATGGGAAAGGGGATTAAGTTAAAAGACTTACTAGGAGTAGCAAGTGGTACAGGGTCCTCTGTTGGACACTCAGTAATGTTGGAGACCAACCCTTTGCTGTTACACTGTAGCTCTATGAAATTGCTGGCTGACATGTACCTTCCTTCAGTCACTGCACCCTCAAAATCAGAGTCAAAGCTGGATGTGACATTGGCACCTGAAACAAATTTTATATTATTTTGAGGTAAAAGCTTGACAAAATATTACATGAATGGACTTGAGATCGTGGAATTAAACACTTTGTAGACGTATAATACCCAAAGGAACTATGAAAAAATACCAAGAATGAAAAGTTCGATCATTGAATTATACTGGAGTGCTGCTCCATAGTCTGACACCTGCATGCCCTCGGAACCTCCATATGTTAGAACAACGTAGAAATTCTTGGCATCTTCACGCTCTCCGTTCTCTTTTGTGAAGACGTTCCAGAGGGTGTGCAAGAGGGCCTTTTCCACAATGCGGCGATCCCTTCCGTACGCTGCATTTCCTTGAGTTAAACCATTAATTGCAGTTTTCACTGCGGAGGCAGTAGAATACTGATTAAGGTTGAAAACGGTGATTGCATCGTCACCATATGTCACGACTCCTATTCTAACTGCATCGTCACCAACTACTATTTTGGTGACAAGGCTAACGAGGAAAGTTTTCATTTCCTGGAATTTAGATGTGCTGATTGTGTCCGTGTCATCCATTATGAAAACTAAGTCAATTTTGCAATCTGAAAAAGATTTTCACCATTAGTCATGAAAAAGTATTTAATTTTCTCTTCATTGTTCAATATTGCCAGAATAACATTATCTCAGCTTCTTTATATAATAGATTTTCTGCTTTGTGATACGATTGTGGCAAGCATTACTCAAGTTGCTTTACTGTATTTGCTAGTACTGTAAACGTATAACTTTTGTATCGGAATCCTTTATTTCTTTCTTGGACAAAAAAATACATTTCTAAATTACTTGTTGACGTAGATAATATTCAGGAACACAAAATTTTCGTTACTTACTTAGAAATAAAATTGTACTAAATATCGCACAAAGTCTGACATATCTGTTTGATTTTTGGATATTTTACCATTCCCGGTAGCCTAGTGGTAGAGTGTTTGCTTTGTGATCGGGAGGCCCGGGTTCGATTCTCGTTCGCCGCGTCAAACTTAAGACGTAAAAATAGGTAGCAACTGTTCCTTTGCCAAGCTCTCGGCATCAGAATTGATAGTCACAGAGTTTTCGGATACGACCTTAAAAACGTAGGCTCCGTGTCACGATTGGCGCCGGCAAGATAAAGAACCCTCACGGCTCAATGGCCCTGAGTGCCGAGTATAGGTCTAAATTTGAAGCCCTTCAGCGGCATACGGTGACGTCTAAATATGAGTGAATAATTCTCGAGGACGTCAAGCAAAATTCATTCAATCAATATTTGGATATTTTACTTGAAAAAGATGTTAATGGTAATCTAACAACCAAGCTCTATGATATACGAGATGAATGTTTCATTGAAAAACTAGTTGAAGGGCGAAAGCAATCTTCAGGGGCATGTACGACCCTTTTGTCCCAGCTCTATCGTATACTTTTGGTACATATTTTCTGAGAAGCCGGCATCCTTAGATTCAATACTCGTGCCGCAAGATTTGGTGTTAGACCTTGTAGTTCTCAAAACACTCGCTGTTTTAAGATTTTTCCATTATTTCGCGATCATGACAAGATGCACACGGCGGGTGTGACCGTTCGGCAGGGGATGCTCACTCCTCCATGGCACTGGAGGTCCGTGTTTGCTCTGCTCCTATTTTGTATTGTTTTATGGACTTTGATCTTGAATACAGTTCGTTATCTCCATATCCTTCATTGTATTAGATTTAAGAGAAAAAGGGACAATTTGACCTTTTTTGGTCCAATACTCAACTGTAATAAATCGACAAATGAATATGTCAGCTTTCGACTCACGCCATATGTATCACATGCATAGCATACTCTGAGTTAATCAAGAAGTATTTAAACGTAATATTCAAAACGTTTTGGTCCAAATTTGTTCTACAAACAGGCGAATAGAAATTTTAACAAGCAATTGAAAATCAACTTTTGAGTCCAAAATAAAACAGAAATACCTTGGGTTATTTCAATGATTGCTTCACACGACGTTATTTTCTGTATAAATTGTTCCCTGATGTTCATCATGTTATCATATGAATCGGTATTAGTGTACCTCGTGTAGTCACCACAAGAATCAACACATTCCTGGTATTCAGATTGAAAAGAGGAACCGACATCTGCAAAAATAGTACATGTATTTTGGTTAACTGATCATAAGTCTTATATATATATAATATTATTTATCTGATACCCTTAAATTGTCATAAAAAAATTCAAACAGTAAAATATTTCTGTTTTATAATTTAGAGACTTACGAGCTGCAAAGATAAAGTTGTTCCCGCTGCCTCTGATCTCGCGCGAAACAGCAGCTGTTTCACTGTAAAATGGTCCCACAACAAAAACGTAATGGTTATTGGCATCCTCTCGATCATCAGTGCCTATGAACACGCTGTCACGAGCTTTTATTAATCCTTGGTACACAAAGTGATCAGAGCTAGTTCTGTCGGGCACATTTTCGATTGCTCCCCTGAGAGTTTCAGAACTTGTGTAAGTTGTAAGCCCAAACTCCTTTGTTGCCCCAGAATCATATGTGACAAAGCCCACTCTTACTCCATCCGAAGATATTGGAATATCCTCCATCAGTCCAGCCAAAAGCGTCTTTGAAAAACGCATATTGTAGCTCTCAACTATAAACGTAATATCAAGTTTGCAGTCTGAAATGAAATTTTAAAAATTGTGAAATTGTAAATTAGGAATAATATTATCGTAGAAATTTTACAGTGTATCGAAAAGGAAGCAATACAAGTATTTTATAGTGTGCATTGTATATCAGGTCCGTAGAGAGCAATTTCAGTTTAGACGGGGGCATAGGCAAACATTTTCAGTATAGGTCATCAGTCGTTCTTATTGAGGGGGCACCAGCATATACATTTAATTTTGTTCATGCAGGAAACTTGTCCTGTTCTACATGCCTCTCATCCCTATTCAATGGGAGTAACATAAAAATACATGTACATGTCCATACAAACTTTTCAAAAAATAAAGATTTAATATTTCCCGTCCAAATCAATTAACAGCCGCGGTAGCTGCGAGGTTAAAGCGTTCGCCCCTTAGTCTAAAGATTCTGGGTGTGTTCGAGATAATTTTTTTGTTTGCTTGTTTTCTTTTCCATTATTTTTGCCAAATTAAGAAATGTGCAAGCTTGACTTTTATGAATTGTGAGAATAAATCTTTATAAAAATAATTTTTCACTTTTAATGGTAGATTAATGGATTGGACATTTAGCACCTATGTTTAGGCTAAATGGAGACTTAATGGTTGTCCAAGAGCTACCATTAAGCACCTATTAGCCACCATTCAGCTACATTTAAGCATCCACTAATGACTTCGAAATAACTTACTGGCAAATTAATGGTGGTGTATTTATTGCTTAAAGGTAGCGTAAAGGTGCTTAATTGAGACTGATAGACAACAATATTAAGCCATCATTTGGGACCTGTCACCATAAAGCCATAAAGCTAAATGAACGTGTTTCATCTTGTAAAAACTTCACAAATGACGCCTTTCTACGGCGTCTTCATGTGTTTATTCTTCTGATCTTTCCATTGATATCAAACCGAGTGACTCATTTCCTTTAAACAATTAACATTTTATCAGAAAGTTCTAACTTTTCAAATGTCTCTCCCTATCTATAGATATGAATTAAATAACAAGTAAACTAATTTTGTTTTACAATAGAGATACAACTTATTTGGATAAATTATTCTTATTTGCAAAGAAATGTTTTGCTTTATTTAATGCCAAAAATTTTTTTTTTTTAAATAAACGTATTGTGGCTAAAATGACGTGATATATTTCGATATACAATAAGTTGTATTGATAAGGTCTTAATATTTTGACATACCTACGGTGACGGGATCAGGGAGAGGTGTTATTGGGCAAACGGCGATTTTCTGTAGAATTTCATTGAATTTAGGATAAAGATCTGCCGGGGAGCTCACTTCCCAGTATCTGCTATCATCTCCAGCAATCGCCTTAAGGTCGGTGATCAAAGCTGAGGAAGGATCAATGCCTGTAATTCGGTTTCATTAGAATAAACGATCTTAGAATCTCATCTCAATTAATAATCATCAAAATTAAAAATAAAATGTTTACATTATTTTCTTTAGTTGTAAATTATCTGAATTTAAAATGTGGCATCACAAGTTCATCCAAAAAATTGTATATAGTATAGTGGTATCAGACGTTCGTAGGAAAATATTTACATTTCCAATAAATTTCCCCATTGATTCTTTACAAAATAAAATGCAGTATATTTTCACATGAACTACATTAGGTATGCATCACGAATAAGCATGAATATCTTGATTGTTACGTCATAATACCGCTCTTGACGTCAAAAAGTCAACAAATATAGTGCACGCAGTTTTGTTTTAAAAATGACAGTTGAACGGTGTAAATTTATGGCAAGTCATCAGAAAAATAATGTAAATATAAGAAATAAATTTAATTTTTTGAAGATTCATAAGGTATATGAACTACAACGCTTCACGCCGGCATATTTATCATGAAGCGCTAACGAGCTTCATGAAATATGCCGGCGTGACGCGTCGTAGTTCATAACCTCATGAATCTTCAAAAATTAAATTCATTTCTTGAATAAATTACGAATTTTAAATATCCTCTTATCAATATGTGAAATAAATTAGGGAATAACTATCTTCTAATTTGGTATTTGCGACCGTTAATGCTGATTTAACGGTCGCAAACTGAGTTTTACCGGCGACGCGTAAGCGGAGATGGTAAAACGGATGGTTGCGACCGTTAAATCAGCATTAACAGTCGCAAATAACAAATTAGAAGATTAGTTATGTTATTCCCATTCTAATGCAATCCATGCATTTTGTTTATCGTTTACGTCTTATTTTGTTGAGTTTCGTTATATGAAATACGTCACGGAGCATTGTGTTTTTGCGTCGCTCTATTATGACGTCACAATGAAACGCTTTCACTCTCGTTAATGCTCGTTTTACTGCCTCAAACAAAGCACATTAGCAAATCAAAAGGTGTTTTACAAACCAATTGCATAATTAGAATACTGTTTGGAAGGTTTCAAAATTCAAAAGGTAAAAAGACTCAGATGAGTTAACAACAATATGCATCAGCAAATGTAAAGACTTATTTAGATATTCTAAGGAAATATGAAAAGTCTATATATCCATTACAAATAATGAATGTATTGAAAATTCATTCAACTTTAAGTCTGACAGAAGTGGGCCTAAAACTGAAGTAGATAGCTCTTTAAGAGAAAATCAATAGGAATTCATGCCCTTCGAATAGTTCCAACTTATTCTGTAATTTTCCACATTTGTAATTTTATACAGCCACTAGAGAAGAAATATTTCCCATCCCAATTAAATAGGAATGTGCTCAATTTACTTTACCGATTGTAAAAACTTGATTCTTAGAAATTTGTCGAATAGCATTTGCCACAACCGAGCCGTTCTGAGAATGTGTTTTAGAGATAAGAACAAAATGTCTGTAAGCTTCATATCTGTTTCCATTGGACAATGTAAAGAACTCGTAAAATCCAACTCTTAAAGCCTCGGCCAGGTCCACGGACGAAGATGCACTTGATATTGATAATGATGTAATAGCACTGTCCAATGAAGATGCGGAAGAATAGGCGTTAAACTTGATATTCTTGTCCACTGTGTCGTCAAATGTGATAACACCAGCCTGAATATCATTAGCTGAAATTTGCAACGCGCCCGCCAAATCACCAATGGCAGATACTAATGCTGAGTAAATGGAAGATGTATGTGAGGATGCTTCAATGATGAATAAAATATCAATTTTGCAAGTTGGATCTGCAAAGAAAGAAAAGATTTTTAAGTTGATATTCAAATAAAGTCACTTTAAAACAAAGTTCTGCGAGAAGGAATCAGTAGCGTTTGGTTTCACTCTGACCTGAACAGACCAAGGGATATCCCGACCATATTTGCCCAAACCCACAGGTACGTTGCGTGTTTCCTGCAGTTTGTTTATACCCAGACGCACATGCGTATGTGCTGACTGCGTTGCAGCCGGTATTGTCAGCAGTTATGTCAACATTGCCGTTTCTTTCATGAATGCATGCAACATCTGACAAGAACAGTTTGATAAATATGGTCAGTATGACTTTCATATTTAGAGATCAACAATTTCAAAAAGATCTGTGATTTAGTGAAAGTAAATTATCAGTATGAATATACTAACCATTGGGGAATCTCCATTCACCACTTGAACCATATCCTGTTCTGATCAAGATATAATTTGCTTCAAAATGAGTTGAACGTGTACAAGTCATGATAACGTTGCTGTCGACTGTACCACCTTTGCCCGTTCGAATATTATTCCCTTCCCATGAAATCCAGAAACTGTCGAAAAACGTTTGGTCGAGAATAGCCTGACTATATGTGGCACATTGTGTACCAGATAATCCATAGTACATTGCAGATTTAGTATTTCCCCATCCACCAATTATAAATTCATAATGTGTACCACAGTCATCACAATCGTGAGTACCCAAGGCAAGCTGGAGGTCATTGTTTGCTCTGGCTCTGAAGGTGAAAGACGTCCTTTTCATGGCCACAAAACAGTTAGACGTAAGACTTCTATAAACCAGGTCGTTTGGCGTGCTTCTACTGATTTCTGTAGAAGCTGTTGAAAAGAAGTATATTGGTTTGGAAAGCTCGAAAAAATACAGGTGAGATACCTTACCTGTAGTTAATTTATACAGAAATTATTAATTTTAACGTTCTCAAATAAAAGTTTTGCCCAATATCTTCAAATCTTGAGAAATAATCTTAATGGACAATACGCGCATATTTCCCATATGCAACTGATGAAAGGATTTTGTTACAAAAATTAGGGAAGTTAACGATAGGAAGCTAAATGAATTATTATCACGTTTATCATTAAGTTTAATTGTTGCATTGGCATTATGTCATTTTCCCAGTTAAACATTTAAATACAAACCAGTAGTTTCATACTCTATAACGTCTTTAATTTCAAGTACATATTATAGAATATATCGAATCAATAAAGGAATGAAACGGAATATGTTGTTTTCGATTAGACGTTGTCGGTGTATTTGCATTTAAACCTAGAATTTTTTTTAAAAGAATACATTCAGCTGCTTAAGAATGTAAAAAAAAATATTTGCACATACAGTTATTATATATTCAGTTGTTTCGATACGCAAGAGCATGCTCTACGTATGAGCAGTTTCTAAAATGAGATAAATTATTGACAAACAAGTTGATGAAACAATATCAACAATCTCGTTGAAAGTCATCATTTCGAACGTTCTTTGGTCGATAAAATGACCTTGTTTGCAAATAAATTAATCATTGAGTCTAATGCTGACTGACGTTTTTCATACTAATTGTTAGTCCATTATTTATACACCGGATTTTCCGTTATTCCCCGATCATGACAATTAAGGAGGGTATAACTGGTCGGCAGGGAATGCTCACTCCTCCATGGCACCTGATCCCACCTCTGATGTTTAAAGGTCCGTGTTTGCTCTGCTCCTATATGTTTTTTTTTTACTTTTGATCTTGAATACTCTACGTTATCTCCACATGTTTCATGTATATATTCTAGCGATTCAAACTAATTTAACGGATATATTTTTGTCCCCTTCTTATACTGAACACTTTCGATTTCGCGCAATGTCTCGAGAAGTCTTCGAGGTTATGCAGTGTTATTTTAAACATCAACTGACGATGGCCTAAAGAATACCCCTATTTATTTTGAGATCGAGAGTGTGAATATGATCTAAGATAATTTACTGAACAAAAATAACAACAGAAATAATCAAATAAGGGTGTATTGGTACTTACATGTGCAACCAATCAGTAGGCAAGATATGGATTGTGACGGAGCTGTTCCGCAACTATACCCCGAAGGCTTTTGACAGGATTGACTCCTATGTAGACTTTGTGTTATGCAATCAGAGGGGCATGCTGACCATGATGACCATGAAGACCAAAGCACTGGAAATACAACACTTAATTTTGTGGATTGTACACAACATGTACATTTTGTACTGTAGCTTTCAACAACTTCATTCCATTTACATGTATATTTAAATTTCTGTGGTCTTTAGAGTACGAGTTTTCCATTAACGGTATATCAGATACACGTAGGGGCTAAAGGCAAGAGTGATAGTTCACAGCCTAGCCCGGCCTTGTATCTTTGACACAATATATAGGAAAAGAGTACTTTAAATGACTTGAACCGTTAATGGCGCATTTGTTTTAAAAGCTCCAATAAGGTGAGAATATTTCACTGCTTAACCAATCTGATAAGCTTATAACATAATATATTAAGAAAGATTTCAGAGCAACATGATGGAAATCTTTGAATTGGGAAGTAACTTGACATGCTTGACTTGCCGTCAATCGACATTGCCAAGTTCGTAATCAACATTTAAAATCAATGACAGTTCATCCTCAAAAGTTTGTGAGACTGCAATTCGAAAATGCTGCTTGTGAAGAATCTCCTTGTCCCATGGCCTGAGCAATTATGCGATAAAATTGATCGAAAGTAAGGGCATCACTTCAAGCGAATCTCGGTTTGATAAACCGGTGATTGATGATGACATATAAAACTTGATTAAACCAGAAGTCTCTCTCGAGACTGTAGCTCTACTGGTTTGTACTTATCAAAAACCATTGCACTATTTTATGTATCTTTGTATAGTCTACTTGTGTGCCAACTTATTTTGAAATCAAACTAAAACTGTAGAAGGAGTAGAGTTTTAAAGGAATTTTACAGAAAATTCTATTTTTAGTAACCATGGTAACACCGTTCATCGCAATCAAAAACCGATGGAATATTCTATGTATCTTAGTGTAGTCTACTTGTTTGCCAAGTTATATTGAAATCAGACCAAAACTGTAGAAGGAGTAGCATTTTAAAGAAATTTCACAGAAAATTCTATTTTAGTAACCATGGCAACACCGTTCATCGAAATCAAAAACCGATGCACTATTCTATGTATCTTTGTGTAGTCTACTTGTGTGCCAAGTTATATTGAAATCAGACCAAAATTGTAGAAGGAGTAGCGTTTTATAGGAATTTCAAAGAAAATTCTATTTTTAGTAACCATGGTAACACCGTTCACCGAAATCAAAAACTGATGCACTATTCTATGTATCTTAGTGTAGTCTACTTGTGTGCCAAGTTATATTGAAATCAGACCAAAACTGTAGAAGGAGTAGCGTTTTTAAGGAATTTCACAGAAAATTCTATTTTTAGTAACCATGGCAACACCGTTCACCGAAATCAAAAACCGATCACTATTCTATGTATCTTAGTGTAGTCTACTTGTGTGCCAAGTTATACTGAAATCAGACCAAAACTGTAGAAGGAGTAGTGTTTTAAAGGAATTTCACAGGAAATTCTATTTTTAGTAACCATGGCAACACCGTTCATTGAAATCAAAAACCGATGCACTATTCTATGTATCTTAGTGTATTTTACTTGTGTGCCAAGTTATATTGAAATCAGACCAAAACTGTAGAAGGAGTAGCGTTTTTAAGGAATTTCACAGAAAATTCTATTTTTAGTAACCATGGCAACACCGAACATCAAAATTAAGAACCGATGCACTATTCTATGTATCTTAGTGTAGTCTACTTGTGTGCCAATTAATATTGAAATCAGACTAAAATTGTAGGAGGAGTAGCGTTTTAAAAAATTGTTTACAGACAGACGGACGGACGCCGGACGCATTACTATCGCATAAGCTCTTCTGGGGCCAGTTTTACAAAAGAACTTACGACTTAGACCAAAAACTTCACATCGTTGTAAATTTTTGCAAAATTTATAATTCTCTTTGAAATTGCTTGTGTAAAAATTTCTTTTTACTTTCCTTTTAAAAAGTTTAAAATAATTTTTGATACAATGTTACTTAAAAAGTTATATGAAGAATTAGATTTGGTCTTAAGTCGTAAGTCTCTGACCAGTAGAGCTAAAAAACAAGAAAATATCAATACAAAAATAGACAATCAATTTGTTCGACAGACAAGGAACGAAGACAATATCCCCGACCTAAATCACTTGACTTCATAACAAATAAGTTTCTGGCTAGAACGGTTCGTGATGGAGACGAGAAAGAAGATGGTATAGAATATTCACCCAGGTCAATCCACCTGATTTTGGCCGGAATCTTACAATTTATCTTACAATTTGTTAAGGACAAGAAAGTATAATCGACTTGTCCAGTTCACAGACAGGGGCAAATTAATCTATTAAAGCGGCTTAGGGTTTTGCAGGCCAAAAAAAAACCAAAAAAAAAACAAAAAACAAGAGGCCCATGGGCCACATCGCTCACCTGAGCATTGTGGCTGAGGAAAAGTAGAAATTGTTTTAAATTACTATTGAATAGTTTATATCCAAAAGTAGTCCCATGACCAATCATGGCTTTGCTATTCTTGATAAGATGATTTTTAAAGAATATTCTTATGTATGTCTATGTAAAACTTTGATTGGCCATTGTGGCCCCGCCCTACCCCCGGGGGTCATGATTTGAACAAATTTGAATCTACACTACCTGAGGATGTTTCCCAATAATCTTTCCTGGCACAGTGGATCTTGAGAAGAAGATTTTTAAAATATACCACCAAATTTTCATTAATTCCCAATTATCTCCCCTTGAATGAAGGCGTGGCCCTTCATTTGAACAAACTTGAATTCCCTTCACCCAAGGATGCTTTGTGGCAAGTTTGGTTGAAACTGGCCTAGCGGTTCTTAAGAAGAAGTCGAAAATGTGAAAAGTTTACAACGACAACGACAGACAACGGACAAATTGTGATCAGAAAAGCTCACTTGAGCCTTTGGCTCAGGTGAGCTAAAAGCCTAAAAATGAAGCACCATTCTCTGATTTGAAAGTCGTACTGCGCACAAGTTTAAGATAGAAAAGATCTTTATCCGTCAGAAACGTGATTATGTTTGGTTTTGTTCTGTTTGGGGCACGATCGAGAAATATTTACCAGAGTTATTCCCCTTGAATTTCGATTTTTTGGGGGGAAGTTTCCAGTTGATTTTCTTCGCATGAATATCAAGGGGGCAGAAGTGTTTCACAAACATCTCAAATTTATGCAGTCCTATGATGTATAATTATTCTGGGGAATATTTCCTCCTTCCGTGAGTCACTTGTTCTCTAACAGTTCTCTAACAGATTAATTTATTGTATATTGTTTAACGTCCCTCTCGAAAAATTTTCACTCGTATGGAGACGCCATAGAACCATTGTCTATTTACAGTACTAGCATTTAATGTCATTTTGCAGTTTTAATGAACGGACCTGTAAACATTTCTAGGCAAGATTATACAAGAAACATAATACACTTACATGGGCAGCTATCTGACCAATACAGTGTTTTTCCGCATCCTGAACACGGATCTCCAGTTAGCCAGGAGTTGGTGGCTTTTATTGTACAAGAGGAGCCGTACCCACACTGAGAATTCATTCTGGAAGTGGCAGACGAACTACCAGTACAGAAACCTAAAACGGAATTACATGACCAAGTCCCTGACGTGATGGTTAGGAATCGACCCGAAGAGCATGATCTTGTTGTGGTACCTCCTTCTGACATAGAAAGACAATCTAAAATAAGAAAAAAAATAACATAGTCATGTTTCAGGCTAGTCATATGAAGAATTTTTTTGCTTTTTCTCTCGTCCATAGGGAAAAATATACATGAAGATACATGTTTTAAATCGTATACCATTTATATATATTATCTATTAAAAAAAAACGTTGCATTGTGTTCCAAAGTTTTGTGTTTTGGAACTCCTACGAATAATGTTGGAGTCTGTTAGTAATTCTTCTTTTAGTGTAGCAAAGTGATTTTTACATGGAAAACAGGCTGTTTCTTGCCTAACGCCGAGCAAGCAGTTTTTCACCTATATTAAAGCGGCAATACGGCAGCAAAACATGTGCTTTTTCATTCAAATTTACCCTATATATCATTCAGGAATAAGGTAAAAAGTTGAAGTAAGCATTTTGAGAAAAACTAGACCTATTTTGTCTTTCAACAAAAACGGAGGGCTTTTCGACCCCAAAAACATTATGGAACTTAAAGTGAATTGGTTATTACACAATAAAAATTCAAAAGGTTCATTATGTTTTTTAGTTCTGATGATATCAATGCTGAGACATTACAAGTCACTCTATTCATCAACGGCTACTCAAAGAAATTTTACTCTTTCATGATTATACAAAATATGCGAAAAACGACTGTTTTTCAATTCACTAAAACTCTTGTAAAGGGTTAGAAGTGACCCTATGGCCCATTGTTTTTAAACTGCCCTTCCTATGCTTAACTCAAAACCGAAATCACTTTTAAGATTGATGGGTAATTAAAAAGGTTTTAGGCAACAAACTATTTTCTGTACAGACCCGTAAAATCCCTTTTATTAAAAAAAAAAAATTTTCATGACCTGAGAACCTGAAGAGAATGCAGAAGTTATTATTCATGTGAAATATCACAAGAATTGCTTGCTTGACATCTTTGATAATGGAACATTCGTGATTGAAATTTAACATAGAAATCTCCGTAGGCAATTTGAAGGGACTCACACAACAGGAACTTCTCTTCATATAGATACTAAAATTGAACATAGAGAGCATATTAGACTCCAAACAGGTTGACAAAGGGAAATAACTCTTACGCAATTATTTTTTAAATTACTTAAAAATACAACATATCAGGTCTCTAAAACACCTATAAGGGGTCAAAAAGTGACCAACGGACCATAATTTTTAAAATGCCCTTCTTATGCTTAACTCAAAACCGAAATCAGTTTGAAGATTGTTTGGAAAATGAAGAAGTTACAGGCAAAAAACTATTTTTCTGTACTGACCCCTAAAATCCCTTTTATTTTAATAAATTTCATAACCTAACCACCTGAAGACAATGCTAGAGTCATTATTCTTATGATATATATCACAAGAATTGCTTGCTTGACTTCTGAGATAATGGAACATGCATGATTTCAAATTTAACATAGAAATCTCCATAGGCAACTCACAGAACCGGAAGTACTCTTCATATACATACTAAAATTGAAACATAGAGAGCATTTAAGACTCCAAGATGATGGACAAAGAGAGATAACTCTTATGCAATTATTTTTGAAATGACTTAAAAATGCAAATTTTCAGTTCTCTAAAACACCTATAAGGGGTCAAAAAGTGACCCCACGGACCAAAATTTTTAAATTGCCCTTCTTATGCTTAACTCAAAATTGAAATCAGTTTGAAGATTGGTTGACAAATAAAAAAGTTACAGGGAGAATGCCGTTTTAAAATATGACCCCTACAAATCTCTAATTTTCAGGGATCTTGTTTTCATTACCTAATCACCTGAAGACAATGCTGAATTTATTATTCCCTGTAAATATTACAAAAAATGCTTGCTTCTTTCTTGAGATAATGGAACATGCATGATTCTTTTTTACTATAGAAACTCCCATAGACAAATTAAAAAGACTTTTTGAACAGGAAGTTCTGCTCTGATGGAAATGAAACTTACATCACAACCTTTACTTACTATCATAAACAATATGTAGTCTTCAAAATAAATTTTCTACGTTGTTTTTAAATTTTAAAATTTCAATCCCCCTTTTTCTTTACTTTCGAACCGTATATCACAAAATCGTACCATAGGTGCAAGAACCCTAACGATGAGTTTTTTGTAGATATTACTTTAAGGAATATATTCCTTAATTTGGAACCAAATTGCATGTAAAATTAGGAATGTTTTGGCTTTCGAAAAAAAAATTAGTTTCTGACTTATAAATACCGGAAGTGACGTCCCCGGAAGTACAAAACCTTGCTTACCGGAGACTTTTTGATACGCTGTCAAATGGTATTGTTATAAATTACATATATCCAATGGTTTTCTTTAAACCCTTGACATAAAAGTGTTAGGTATAATAATAATAAAACAAGATGATAACAATAGGGCTTTTCGCCTGAAAGCGAAAAGCCTTAATAAAAATTCTCTCCTCATACAAAATTAACGTAGTTAGAATCTGCCGGAAAATCAAGGGTCGTACAACTTAGATCTGTTTACTTGTACCACGTGAATTCTAAAATGGCACGTGCATACAATGTAAGGTTTACAATTATAATGGAATATTAGGTAAAAGCAATTCTCAGAATCAAAATATCTTAACTCTCCGGTAAATTAATAATAGTTAACATTTTAGTCTGCATTCAGACGAATTTAACATGATTAAGTACAAATGTTGACGTTTTTTGTATTGGGGTGCAGGAAAGGAAAATCCACCAAATCATTATAGTAATCGCGGCAAAATGTCAAAACAAAATATCTTTCTGCAGTTCCAATACAATTTGCACTTCAAATGGCAGTAATTTTTATATGTCATGAGTGCATTTTTATCTTGAGTTTACACTGATTTTGTTTTCTTTGAAAGCCATGGAGATACGAGAAATGATAGCATGTATCAACAAACCTGTAGGGTAGAACCATCGCGAGCCCCACGTGAATGTCGCCGATATCCAGTTTCTTCTTCATTCAATGATTTTATTAATCTCCCAGCTAAATTTTTGTCAGGAAAGTTGCTTTTTAATTTCAAGCCCTATTTTTGTTTTTCGTTTTGGTCGATTTGTCAATGTAGCAGGCCTACCGGGCTTCCCTCTATTACCATGCTGTTTTGTTTATGAAAACAATACGCATGAATTGTGTGTATAGCATGGAATGTGGAACCTCGAACACGTTGCGATGTATATATTTATGTACCATAAATAATTATTAATTTTAATGAAATAATCAGAATTATTTACTTATGAAATTTGTAATTTTCTGAAAGTGTATACATTTATGAGTATGAAAAAAATTCCAAATCCTACAGGAAAATTTTAAGAAGTCTGTTTTTGAAGAGATGCGCCATATTGTCACTTTAAAGGGGTACTGAATTGGATTTCTGTTGCGCAATACTTCACGCATCATTATAAAATTAAGTCTCTTTTGTGTTTAAAATCAATTATCTTTACATAAAACAATAAAAAATATAATATAAGAAACCACATGTTCAAAAATCTAACTAGTTTTATACAACTAATAACTGCATAAAACAGGCAAATTTAATCAAAATTCTGAGATCCTCCCTCTGAAAACCAGACGGTAATATCTTCTTACATAAAATATTATAATAGTATTACTCAGCACACATTATTTGTATTAAGTATCTTGTTCTATTGAAATAATTTTCTTCGAAGTACGAAAAAATTGGCAGTATCCCATATTGTTACATACTAGTTAGTGTACCTGTATTTTGAAACGGTCCCTTAAAACTACTTGGACGGTTAATGATTTTTTTTTCTTAACTTGAAATCTACACTGAAGTCAATGTTAGTAACATATGATATAAATTTTTATGCGCCCGGATCGATAGATCCGAGGCGTATATTTTTTTTGTCCTGTCTGTTTGTCTGTTTATCTGTTTGTCTATCTGTCTGTTGTCAACTTTAACCTTCGCTATAACTTTTGAACCATGAGAGATAGAGACTTCATATTAGGTATGCATACTCCACTGGAAAAGTTCTTTCAAATGACATCAAGGTCAATGACCTTACGACCTTGACTGTGACCTATATGCTAAAAATAGCTTTTGCGAACTTTTGCCATAACTATTGAACCATGAAAGATAAAGACTTCATAATTAGTATGCTTACACCAATAATTAAGCTCTTTAAATTGACACCAAGGTCATTGACCTTGTGACCTTGACTGTGACCTATAAGCTAAAAATAGCTTTTTCGAAATTTGGCCATAACTTTTGAAGCATGAGAGATCGAGACCTCACATTTGGTATGCATGCAACATTAATTAAGCTCTTTCAAATGACTCCAAGGCCAATGGCCTTGTGACTTGACTGTGACCTATATGCTAAAAATAGTTTTGGAACTTTGTTGCCACCGGGCGCATAGTGTTTCACAAACGCATGTTGTAATTCATGAAATTCTCACACTGTAAAACCCCCGTCTACTCTCTTTAGGGTTGAAAATGGGGTCATTTATTTAATGTTTGATTTTTCTTTTTTTTTTTTTTTTGCGAAAGGAATTATAAAATTTAACACAGGGCACCATTTAACGTCCTATCCAAGGGTCTTGCAACTTTTCAAATATGTATTGTAAAAAGAAAACATGACAAGAAATGCCTACAAAATTCCGTAATTTTTTTAATCAGTTTCCTGACGTGTAAAGAAACAACACTAGACTGGCAATTTTAAATGATTTATGGATCGTTTAACCATCTACTTCAAACGGGCGTTGAATCAGTACATGCACTTCTAAAAACATAAGATATGTAATAAAAAGTATGCATCCAGGCTTATTAAAGTTGACCAAATTGTATTTATGAGTGGGTTATTTCTGAATGACAAATAAGAAATATTCTTGAAATGATAAATCAACCTGATATTTATTTGAGTCGATGTCAGATACAAATGAAATTCGTTAATTAGATTTCTACAGAATAAATTTTCTGTGTTAATTTTTTTTTTCAAAGACAAATTGATTAGAATTTACAAAACATCCAATTTCAAACGTTTTGCAACCTGTAACCCTTAA